TGTTTCCGTAGCGACCCAAGGTGCATTGCGTCGTTTGATATATTTTTTTCTAGAAACTTCACTAATAGAAGAAGCACTAGAATTTAATTGAGCCATTTTGATCTAGTCCAAAAGGATATTAGTCCATACATTAAAATGGTGGTTGTTGTGTTGGTTAGTAATTTTATAATTCCACAAAAGCATTAGGTAAGTTGACCTTTTGTGCCAATAGGAAGTGAAAGAAAATGCTACAAGTACATAATAAATGTACATAGAGACGTACATAATATTCACATGGAGTGGGATCCACTTGATTTTTTAATTTTGGTGGGTCTGTGTTATGTATATCCATATATATAATATTATGTACTTATAGCATCACTCGTAGGAAATATAGTAAAAACAAATTAATATTTGTGGTCTGGTTTTATTGATTCTAATCTTGTCAAGAAAACAAAGATTCTCAAAGTACTACCAAGTGTCTAGCTGCTCAACCAAGTGTCCCCCAAATATGCTGTTTTGATTGTGACTTAGTGCACATATCTTATATTTCACATTTTCACCTCAAATTTGCATCAAAACCGCATACATTATAATATGTGTCATTCACATTCAGCACGAGAAAATGCTATACTATAAATAAATTGCTACAAAAGCTTTGCCCACGTCTCAGCCAATCACTTCAGTCCACGTCATCAGCATGGGTGGGCCCGGCCCCAAAATTTCCCTCGTCCAACCATCCCTCTAGACCAATCAGAGTCGTGCTAATTTTTTTTTTTTTTTTTTATCAAAATATTGTTTGCTCTCTGAAATTTTAGTCGATGTACAATAATTTATGGTATGGTCGAGTCGATTTGATCATTAACGACTTTGGCTCGTCGAGTTTGAGCTCGAGCTCGGGCTTTGCTCGATTTAGCTTGACTGAATTGGTTGTGTAAGTAAAATTGCTATTAGACAGACTTAATGATTAGACAGTAATATTTTTTTATATATATATTTAAATTAAAACACCATACTCTAAAAAATAAAATAAACATTTTAAAGTAAAATACCACTGGGAACATTTATGTGTCCATTCGGATCCCACTTTCGGAGCCCCGTTTGGAAACCGTCATCCACCAAACTAATATAATAATACTAAAAATAAATAAAAAGTATTTTCCTGCCTTTCTAATTTAAGTCAAAAAAATTGGAAATTAAGGAAACATTTCAATCGTCAAGTTTCTTTACACAGATCTTTCCCGAAAACAGAGAGAGAGAGAGAGAAAAAAAAATGTCGAAATCGCCATGGGGGAAAATCGGCAATTGGGCCGCCGAAGCCGAGCGCGCGGAGGCCGAGGAGCGTGAAGCCGCGGAGAAAGCCGCCGCCTCCGCGCCGCCGACGACCTTCCCCAGCCTGAAGGAGTCTGTGACGACGGCGAAGCAGAAGAAGAAGACCAAGATGAGCCTGCAGGAGTTCACGATGAAGCAGTCCACCCGCTCCGCCCCGGCCTCGAGCCGCGGCCTGACGCCGGAGGAAATGCTCCGCCTCCCCACCGGCCCCAAAGAGCGTTCCCTCGATGAAATGCAGCACGGCCGATTGGGCGGCGGGTTCAGTAATTACGGGCCTCGACCCGGATACGGAGGCCCGAACACAGGTCGTCCCCGCGAGTACGATGGCCGGAGGTCGTACGGATTTGAGGACGACAATCGGAGGGGACCCCCTCCGGAATCTAGGGTTTCGGATTTGAATCAGCCTTCGCGAGCTGACGAGGTTGACAATTGGGCTTCGATGAAGAAGCAAACCCTACCTGATTACAATTCGCGCCAGGATAGGCACGGTGGGAGCTACAGCTCGCTCGGCGGAGGCGGGGGCCCTGGCGCCGGATCGCGGGCCGACGAAGTAGACAACTGGGCCTCTGTCAAGAAGCATTTCCCGCAAGCACAGCAGGCTAGATCTTCGGGCTTCGGGTCGGGATTCCCCAGGTCTGAGACGGATCGGTGGACGCGTAATGAGCAGAGATCGGCTGTCGACACTCCAAAGACGGAAATTGATGTGGGCCCCAAAGTTGACAAGCCAAATCCATTTGGGATGGCCCGGCCCAGGGAGGAGGTCTTGGCTGAGAAAGGGTTGGATTGGAAAAAGTTGGATTTGGAGATCGAAGGTAAGAAGCAGTCTTCGGTCAGTGGTGGGAGCCGGCCCACGAGCTCGCACTCGAGCAGGCCTGGGAGCCAACAGTCGAGCAGGTCAGACTTGCCTGTGGCTTTGGGGGGTGAAGGGGTTGTCAAGGAAAAACCAAAAGTGAATCCTTTTGGAAATGCTAAACCTAGAGAAGTCTTGCTTGAGGAAAAGGGTTTGGATTGGAAAAAACTCGATCTTGAGCTGGAACATAGACGGGTCGAAAGGTAATCCTTGATTGTATGATGCATTTTATAACTAGAATTTCATTTTATATAATGAATATTTTGTGACTGAATGTCCATTTTGTTGGCAAAGTTTATATTCGTGAACTGCTGAGGTTCTGGAATATATATTTTAGAAGTGTCTTAGGTTACTGTGATGGGATTTTATCTTGAATGATGGTTGTCGAGAAGTTCTTCCTCTGGTTGAACTACCATGTATTGTTTAAATAGGGTAATATTAGACTAAAGGAGACAATGGTGCTTGTATCATTAAGAATCTGAGACTTTTTTTTATCATTTTTGTGGATGAACCTGCAGCTATTTGTGTGATAATGTTACACAAGACTTTCTATGTCTTCTGATAAATTTTGGACGAAGGTTATTGAACGGACAATGCTAGTCAAGCGTTATTATTGATGAAATCAAGAATTTATATGTATAAAAGTGGATGTGTGTGGACAAACCTATTATTTTTCTTTATTTTATGCCTGTTGGATATGATGGTTCATGGGATGTAGATTGTTGAACCCCGGATTTGAGACGTTTATCTATATTAATGCATAATGCAACCCCTTACACACCCGCTCTTTCTATTTCCCATTTTTTAAGATTTAGCTGGGCCATTCGTCCTTTTATAGATACATTAGTCTTTTATTAAGCATCAGATGTTTTCTTTTAGAATTTTATACTTTCTATTCACTGTTTCCAAATTCTTTGATGAGTAATTTAATAGTTTGGAAATTATGAAAGTAATAATCTGTCAATTGATGATTATCTTCATTAGTTCTAGTAATGAAGTGTGTTACGAGATTATTTTCCTTTTATCTGATCCAATAGCTTCTTTCAGGCCTGAGACAGAGGAAGAAAAGAATCTCAGGGAAGAAATCGAACACTTGAAAACCGAGCTGCTAAAAGAAACCGTTGAAGACCAAACCACCACACTCAATCTGATACATCAAAAGGAAAATGATTTGGAACTGCTCGTCCGCCAGCTGGACAACAAAGTCCGTTACAGTCAAAAAATATTTGAAAGGAAAAGCTCTGGCCCTTTCACGGGTTCGGGCTTTAACAACCGACCTCCTTCTCGACCAGGATCACAAGACGAGCAGCGTAGATTTGGCTCTCTTGACCGGCCTCCATCGGGGCATGGAAAATTTGAAGAACCCAATAGACCACCGTCCGAGCCCGGTTTGTATGAGAATTTTAGAGAGAGACCTCCTTCGAGACAGGGAGCTTATGAAGAACCTAGGTTCGGGTTTGCCGATAGGCCCCGTTCGAGGCATGGAGGAGGGTATGAGGACCCCAGAGTTTTGGAGTACAATGAGAGGTCACGATCACGTGGGACTGGGAATTCATGGTCGAGACCGAGTGATGAGAGAATGTCGTTTGGAGGGAGAGGATTCACCGGTGGCCGAGAGACTCATAGGTACTGCCTTTTTAATATTTTTATCGTGTATTTGGTGCATTCACTGATTCAAGTTATTGCATTTTTTGGATCTTCGAGATTTTTATGGAGTGAGATTTTTAGTTTCTAGTGATCTTTTAGGATGGAATTGTGTATGAAAATTTATGGACATTCAGTAGTCACTCAGTTTAGATTTTTCATTTTCCTTTATAGTTTCAAGTTTATTCCTCTTTACCTTTTCTTTTTTGACAAAACTTATATAATGCAACTAAAAAACTTGCACACTGACTTGTCTAATGGCGATCTTGGTTTACTTATTCAATTATCACAATTCCGCATTTACTTCCCCAGAAATCCTCACTATTCGCTCACTCGCACATTTTTAATCACCAAGCATGATGTTACTATATCTGTATGGCATCCATTTTTCCTCAACAATTCCAGCTCTTATTCTTCAGTCACACTATTCTTTGATTAACATGATTTTTTCTTATATGTGATGATAAAAATGAAAATCGATGCCGTATAATTTCTCTAAATGGTAAAAAAATTCAACAATCACTCAATATGGTAAAAAAATGCAAAAGTAACTCAAAATGCTTGTTTATTTGCTGTAATAAGTAATAACTGAGCTGTTTAGCATGGGAGACCTTTTGGTAAGCATATAATCACCCGTGTTCTTCTTTTAGTTTGAATTTCTGTACGCGACAGATTAAGGGTATCATCTCATTTTTGCAGGTCAGGGTCAAGGTGGTAACTGACAGCTTCCTGGACGGGAGATTCTTTTGTTCTCTGTTAATAGTCAATCTGACTAGATCGCAAATTATACTTTTGGCACCTTTTTATTCAAATTTATCATAATTTTGCTGTGATGAAAGGAGCTAAATTTATTGAAATTGTATGGAATGTAGAACTCCTTTGTTTTTCTTTTGCATTCGGCATCTTTCAGTAGTCGGTTCGGTTCAATATTTTCTTCCGAGGGACTTTGTAATGCAAGCAGCAAACTTTTCTGTTCAGCTTTTAGTGCATTTTTTTGTATCATTTGTTGATCTGATGTATTCTTCTTCTTATCATTGTTTTTTTCGAAAGAGATCTGATTATAAAATGTTTGCAGGTGTGATGCTCTTGTTGGTGTTGTTTCTGTTAGGTTGATTTTGACCCTCTTCTTTTTCACAATCTATACTGTTTGCATTTGCAGCTTGCAACTTGCATCTTGTATATAGAAAATCATCCCTATCGAGCTGTGACTGCAGAAAAAGATGAGGATCCCGGTAGAATGGGATCCGAACTCGACACTTTTGGCTGATAACGTATAGCTGATTGTATTAACGGAATAGCTGGTTTGACTTCCATATTGTATTCATGATTTGTAAATGAGTGTTGGTAAACAAGAGCTGATAACTATTTAGGATATTGTATGTGGCTGTATTATTTTTGAATCCCCTCTACCCAAAATGAACATATATTATTAAACTTTTTTGTAATTAGAGTTTTGGGCTCAACAAACTAATCAAATAAGCTATTTACCAATAGTCAGCAGATTTAAAGAGTCAAACTAGGGGGAGATTTTACGGTCCCGTTGCGGAATCATTCAGTCGGGGTTTGTAACCGTTAGATCAACTATCCACGACGGTTACATGATGATCTAACGGTTATAAATCTCGACGGAATGGTTTCGTAACGGCACTATAGCATTTCCCCGAACGAGGTTCAATTCGCTAACATTCAAACTAGTCCAAGTCCAATAGTTGATCCAATTATTTTAAAAATTACCTAAGCATTACCAGAACTGCTTTGTGGCCAACATTGTCAATATATTGCTCTTTTTTTTTTTTTTTTTTTTTTTTTTTTTTTTTTTTTTTTTTTTTTTTTCCTTAATCCAAACGTTATTTACAAACATTTACTTTACTAGATTACACAGGTGCTTGTTAAAAGATTATTCTTAAATTTTAAAATTAATGAGAAAACTATATTAAATTTAGTTTACTTTTTTTTAAAAAAAAAATATATTACTATATATTTGCGAATAATATGTGTCACTTATGACTTACATGTGTTATATTATATTAGTGTTTATAACTTATATCATATAACTACTTGAAATATAAATATATTAGTTGATAAATAATTTATTTTTCTAATTAATATTAAAAATAATTTTATTATTGTTTTAAAGATAAATATAAATTATTTTTTTAT